GTGGGTGGCGAGAGGCAGGAACAGAGGCGTTCTGCTGAGACGGGAGTAAAAGCAGGAAAGCAGAGACAAACTACGAGAAGAAGGAAAGTGTTAAAGAAAAGGGGAAGAGAGGAGATAAAGCGATTCCTCTGAGGAAGAAGCAAGCGAAGGAGGGGGAATACGGAAGGACTCTGCTGATGAGAGAGAGGAGTTGAAAGACCCCCCTCAAGAGACGCCGAACAGAGACTGACTCTACAACTCTCTCTCCCTTTGTCACACCACAAGGATTTGATGCCCCTCAGCCTGTTCACTTCTGTGTGTTCATGTTTCCCACAGGTTTCTCTTCCCCCAACCCCCCAGCTGCAGCCCAGGAGGTCAGACCTGCCACTGATGGTAACACCAGCAGCAGCTCCTCCTGCAAGAAGAGAAAGTTAAATAACAGCAGCAACAGCAACTCTGAAAGAGAAGAATTTGATTCCATTTCTTCCTGCACCTCTTCTCCTTCCAAAAACGCCACCTCATCATCTTCCTCCGTCATCACCACTTCCTCGTGCTCCTCCTCAGGGGTTGCCTCCTCCAATCATCACCTCCAGAAGAAGCTGCGCTTTGAGGACTCCGTGGATTTTATTGGACTCGATGTGAAGATGGCTGAAGAGTCTTCTTCCTCCTCCTCTCCCACTGCTGCTTCTCAACAGCAGCACCAACAACAGCTCAAAAATAAAAGCCTTTTAATTTCGTCAGTGGCTGTGGGGCACCATGCAAATGGCCTGACCAAAGCTGCCTCCTCTACTGTTTCCAGTTTTGCCAACAGTAAACCTGGCTCTGCTAAGAAATTAGTGATCAAGAACTTTAAAGGTAACAGGCCATAATTTGTCACAACCTGACGTTTAACTTTGTGTTTTGTTTTCAACAAGAAAGCTGGTTGACTTTCACAAGTTTTTCACAAAGCGCTTTTCTCTGTTGAATGTTTCTATACTTACATAAAGGGGGGAATAATGTTTTAGAATGCATACTTGCCAAGCCATGTACACACTCTGAGCTGCACTTCTCTGCTTGGGGTTATTTTTCAGACTCGTTTCACTCTTGTCTCTTGAGAAGGCCTTTACTTGTATGTCAGATGAAAGGTTTTTCTACGTCAGTGTGTGAAATGCCTTTCTTCAAACTTTTAACATTTGATATCTCTTTTCTATTAATCCTGATTCAGGATTTAGTGTATATATTTTAACGTAGCTTATAATAAGTCTTTGCACAGGATGCGTTTTTTTAAGTTGGGCCTGATTCTCTGTCTCGCCTCTATCCATGTTGTCTGTTTATAGGTTAATCCGCTTGTGCTTAGTTTTAAAGGTGATTATCAGGCTATTATGGCGAATTTCCTTTCTGGTTTCCCTGTTTGTCTTTAAAGTAGATAATTTTCCTGAGTATTTTCCTTGCAATACCCTTGCTGTAATTTTTGTTTTTTAACTGCTTGATGTGTTTTCTCTGTCTTAACATACTTTCACTTTACAGGGTTACATTATTTTATAAGTTCTCTCAAAAGATGTGTTTGAGGTTCTTGAGTATTGGTACTAGAGACCAGCTGAAGCAGAGAAATGAAACTTTTCTGCTGTAATACTTGCTTCATTTTCTAGTAAACAAAAATATAAATAGGTGCAGACAGAAAGTTTAGTTAAAGCTGTCATTTTTTTTTCCCTATAAAGATGAGGAAATCGCCTGCTTTTTTAATTTCTTGCCTCTTGCTATCTTCTATAATAGTCTGATAGCTTGCTTTCTTGGGTTGTTGGTGTTTTTTTCCCCACATGATGGGCTTGGGGCAGTAAAAGATATTAATGACATTAAAATTAATTTTTAAATACACAGTTGATGTTCTGTAGTAACATTGTAGAAGGTAAAGATTAGGATTACTTTAACCACTGTAATGTTTTACAGCAGTTCATGGTCACAGTGTAACTTTTTGCTTTAAGGTCCTCCTAATTCTCAAAAATGTGCTCTACCCATCACATCATCATTTAATTTGACTGATTCTTTTTACATTTATACTTATGATGCATGATGGTGAGATATAAATGTCATACTTCTGTTGCTTGTGCACTGTTATCTTTAAGAGACATAAATTTTTCATGTTTAAAATGTTTGTTAAATGTCATGGATTGCATGATATTGTGAGCATCATTGCTTATGAATTGGTATTTGAATCACTTGCTTAAAAAGGATGTCTCAAGAATCTGCCAGCTTTGCTTTTTATTTGCTCTTAGATGCTAAACTGAATAATAATCTTAAGATTATTGTCTTTATCTTAGTGTGAGAGCAATAACATCCATTACAACTTAAATAACTTTAGAATCCATAATCATGGTATTTCCTGCCAAGTAGCATACTCATTAGTTGCTAGTGAAAATAAGCAAGTCTCGCGTGTAGTTACTTGTCTCTCTAGATTCTTACGATACTGCTGATGTAGGGGTGTTGTCAATATTGTAGGGAGATGCTTGGAAGAACAAAAAAATTACTTCTCTGTTATTTCTAGAGAACTCATAAAGCTTTACAATGTAGTAGAGTGTAAACTCTGGCCCAGTTTCACCTGTTGATGCATGGATGTGCATGCGTCTTCTTCCCTAAATTTTCCTCCTCCTTCCATCTCAATTTAGGACTGTGATTATTAGAACAAAAATGGTCATTTTAGCTCATTGTGAGAACACAGAACAATTCTGGTACTCTGAGAATGTGACTTGGGGAATCTCTCTTAGCCTGTTGTAAATGCTTTAGTCTTGTTGAAGACACTGTGTAGCAGGGCCATCTTTAGAAAAGAGGCTGAAAAAAAGAAGGGTAAAATCTGCAAACTTGAGCTATTTGAACATTGAAAGAGGGCTTAACTCTAACAAATATCCACTGGTCAAGCCCAAGAGATGTAAATGGTTTACTTTAAAATACGAAGGTTTTCCTTGAGGCCATAAAGCCTGTATTATAATTACAGTATTTCTATGCATGTTTCTTGAAGGTTTCTTTCCAATTTTTGATACAGAGCAAAATTAATGAGAAGTAAATTTAAAAAATAAGCTATACGCAACACTGTATCTTTTAATCCATACTTTTCAGCTCTTATGTTCACTTCCTTTTAGCTGTGCTGTCCTGGCAGTGAAAAAATGTAATGAAGATGTAGATGATTCTTGCTGGTGTTTAGCCTTTTATCCCTTCTTGAGCTGCTCAGACTCAGTGTTGTGATGTTTATAAATCGCACATACTGTTTGGGCTGCAGATGCTGTGATGTGTATGTGAACAGCTATGCTGAATTTTTACAATGCGTTACTATTTGAAATGTAAATAAGATACTGCTTTTACGCTGATGCTTGCTTTTAATGTAAATATAAATTAAAATTTAGAGCATCAGCCTGTACCTCTTTCCTCTCAAAGCTACATTTCTCATTTATGTAAAAGGTAAACTGTTCTGCTTCTTCTAAATATTTTCTCAAATTCTTTTAATTTCTTTTAAAGATAAACCCAAATTGCCTGAAAACTACACAGATGAAACCTGGCAAAAACTGAAAGAAGCTGTGGAAGCTATCCAGAACAGTACTTCAATTAAGTACAATTTAGAGGAGCTCTATCAGGTACGTGCTTTAAGTAAAAGTGATGAGGTAAGGTTTTTTGTTTTGTTGTAGGATTTTTTTGTTTGCTTAAAATACTTCTGATACTGTGGTAAGAATATGACATTTTGCTTGATAGCTGCTTTTTCGATTGAAAACATTTTCATTGAACAGTTGATCAAATTTTAAAATTTCACAAGATCTAACATTAAACTAAAATTCTGTTTTCACTTTCCGCAACACAATCCAAGGCATGATTTCCCTTGCAACAGTTCACAAGAATTAAGTAAGGCAAGGAGCTGTCTTCCTTTTTCTGTTTTGGGGTTTAGGGTGTGTAGCTGGTAAAGGGGAAATGTGAAATCCTAAAACATTGGTGTTTAGGTAAGAAAAAGACAATTTATATAAAAATATTATCCTTTTTTTGAAGACAGTATCTGTTCATGGCTGAAGATCATAAATAATTTGAAAACTGAAACTTTTAGTGCTTAGAAGTAAATAGAATACCATTTTTTTATGAACTGTATTATTTTTGTTTGTAATTGTGTGTCATTCAACATTCTGTCCTACAAACTGAGAATCAAACTTTATTCCCAGCAACAGCCCTGATTGTTTTGCCCTAAATGTTTTAGGAAATAATCAGACTTGAACTTTATTTCCTGACCTTTTTTATAAGCTCCACTTCTGCTTTTGCAACTGAATGTGTTGGGGAGACTTCTCCCCCTTCACCTTTTCCCTGCTGACATGGTGGCACTTGCGGTTTTTGTGGCCTAGCAACAGCAGCACTGCTTTAGCTAGGTATTAAGAAGTACTTACACTTTTTACTCTACTTTTAAATCCTTTATTACCTGGTTAGTTGTTTAACTTGCTCCTCTATGTATTTATAGCCTTCTCTCTATATGTTTTTAGTGTGTCTTCTGCCCTTTCCCTTTTCAGTAAAAGTCACATTTGGATGTGACTGATTTTTTGTGAAAAGTTGGGCACAAGGTTTGGAGACAGATTTAGGGAAGGATAAATTGCCAAGAACCTCATGGGCCAAGTTACTCAATCCAGTGTGTGCTTAAGCTCATTATAATCTTTCATAATGTTCAATAAGTCTAAAAATAGCGCTTTTTTAAAACAGTTTGTCAGGATAACACATAGTATTGTTAAAGTAACAATAGTATCATTACTTTTGCAAAACTTGGTGAAGCTAATAAATCACAATCAACTGTATTGGCTGGTATTGTAAATTACTTACTCTATACTGAACGACAGAGCAGATAACTGCTAATTAAGTACTTGAAGGATATCCAAAATTGTTTAAAAACAAAGTTCTACTGAAAGCCTTGCTTCAGCTTCACAGTTATCACTTAGATTTCTGCTCACTTTTACCACAGGCCTAATTCTATGGGGTTTTGTGCTCAGAAAACAAAAATAGGCTTTTTTCTCCTTTAAATCTCAGTTTTAACTTTAGTAATAACTTAAACACTTTTCAATGAAATAGTGCAATCAAGTGAGAAATAATTTGTTTTTTAATCTAAAAATAAATGTCTTGACTTCAAAAATAGTAATAGGAATCACTAGTGTTTTTAAATGCTGACTAAACTAATGCCATTTCTGAACAGCTGCTTGGTAAAGGGATCTGATACCAAATATGCCTTGGTGGGCACCATTATCCAAACATAGATGGGATTTGCAAAAGAGTCTGCAAAACCTCTGCTGTTCACCTCAAAATAAGATACTACTTTTTTAATGAAGTTATACTTCTTGGTTTAGTTCTTGTCTGTGTTGAAAAAATGCCACTGAGCAAACATTTTGAGGCTTTATTTCTTTCTGGGACATTGGCTTCACACTTGCTTTGTGCCTGTTGAGCAAGAGAAATAATGCACGCCTTTGAATAGCTGAAGTACTTCAGAACTGGAAGCTTCTTTATTAGATTTTCCTTAGATTAGTAACAGAAAATAGAGATCCAGATCTTTGGTACCAAATCCCTTGTTACATTTTATTTTTGTTTAATCAATCACAGAGTTAAGAACTTCTGGAAGGTTCTGATGTTTCTCTCATCAAAGCTGTGTTCAGTTGTTTTTCCTAGATTTTCTTCTGGAATCAAAGTAGTGGTTATTTCCTGTTTTGCTGCTGTTTAATTTAGTCTTACCTTGTGGGTACAATAGCAGAAGATGGTTGAGCGGTGTCTATAACCTACTCTGAACAGTGAACTGTAGAATGTTTTCCTATCACATCATTGTATTTGTTTGGGGTTTCTTAAGCATTAAGGTTGAGAGTTGAATTTGTTGCTGTTTCCAAATATTGAGATATGTACAATTCAGTGATAATTCTGGCTTTCCTAATAATCATAATTCAGATGTATTTTAGTCTTAAACATGCCCGTTCTTGCTAAATCTGTTTGTTTCTGAAAGTAAGTTTTTGCAGGTTTGGTTTTCTTTTATTATTATTGTTGGAGAGGTGTTTTCTTGTGGGGTTACGGTTTCTGTGGTGGGGTTTGTTGTTGGTTTTGTTTTGTTTTCTTTTAACTCCTCTGTGTCCTGGAGCCTGCATTAGCTGTAGTGCACTTGCTCTAGAAGTTGTTTACTGTTGATACTGCGAATGATTACTGTTGATAGTCTAGGACAAAGTGAGGATCTCTTTGCTGTTTTGATTGTTGCTGTGTCTTTAGTGGTGGCTGCTTACTGTTTGCTGGTGGCTTCTGTTTGGACTGTTGGGAAATAGTCTGAGGGGCTTCGCTGTAATGGAGTAGATCTGCTCTGTATTCTGCTGAACTGCACCATCCCTGCATGGTTGCCCACGGTCACTGGGGACCAAACTTGAATTTCCAGTCCTTTATTTTCCTTTAAGTTGTACTGGCAACTGAAGTGTTTTCCATTAAAAAATAAATAAAATTGAGAGATATTAGTTGGAAATCATATATATCGCTCCACTCTAGCTTCTATGGATGTGTTGCAGAATAATCGCATATTGCATCTTTCACCAATCCACAAGGAGTTAAAGTTGCGTAGATGCTTTCCAAATCTGGGCAATTGGTATAAATTTTGGTGAAGTCTTGAGTTATGCTTCTGAATGTAAGAATGCCTGTTTGCCTGATCAATCTTGAAGATATTCCCCATTTAAGACCTTTTTGCCTTTTGCTGTGAAGCACAGCGACAATTCTTCTAATACTTGATTATGATCTAGAAATCTGAGATTTGGCACTGTAAAAATCTGGAATGTAGTCATACTACTGAAAATTGTCCCAGATTATAACTAAACTTAGGGAAGGGGTTGATGAATGGCTATACATATATATA